TAATTATATGTAAGGTAAAAAAAATCTAAAATTATATTAATATCTACTTATATTATTCTTAAAAAATAAAAAATATTTATTATAATAATAATTGAATAATTAATTAAAATCAATAAATAATTAAAAAAACTAAAACCATACTTCTTAATTATTTATTTTAAAAAATAAAAAAATTATAATTAATTTAAAATAATCTTAAAGACAAAATAAAAATTAAAAACAAAGGGAATACTTAACCTCACTGTGTCTTTAAGTTAAAAAATTCTAAAAAAGACCAATTAAAGTGCGCTTCAGGCCTAAAACCCGCCACGAACGAACCTTTGGTGGATTCAGAGAGCTTCAAATCAAAAGGATTCTGGAGAAGACCGTTCCTCGGTTCCTGTGCCGGACGCTTTAGTTTAGACTTGATTCCCTCTTAAATCTTTTACTCCAACCTCTTTTAAAAGATTTCGTTCCAGTCTTTTCTTTTCTTTGAAACCTTACTGTCCGAAGAGCTGCACGGACAACGACGTATTAATGTCCGATTCAGGATCAAGAGCCTGAGGTCCCTACAGACCCAACCCCAAACAGAACGCAGAGACATGGTGGCTGGTAAGGTAAGAATGGCGATGGGGTTGCAGAAGTCGCCGGCAAATCCAGACCAAAATAACTCTCCCAAGCCGCCATTGCCGTCACCGAGCTCGGCCGGGAAGAACAGTTCGCAGAAAACGGTTTTCTCGCGTTCTTTTGGTGTCTACTTTCCGCGGTCTTCGGTTCAGGTGCAGCCTCGCCTGCCGGACGTCACGGAGCTACTCCGTCTGGTGGAGGAGTTGCGCGATCGCGAGTCCAAGCTCAAGACCCAGCTTCTCGAGTTCAAGCTGTTGAAAGAATCGGTTGCTATAGTACCTGTACTGGAGAATGAGATTGACGTGAAAAATGCGGAGCTGGAGCGAGTCTCGAAAGAGAATGAGGATTTGAGATGTGGAAAGGAAGCATTGAAAATAGAGGTGGAAGAAATGAAGAGAGGGACTGAGGCGGAGAGAAAGGAAAGGGAAGAGAAAATGAGAGAACTAGAAGCGGAGGTAGCAGAGCTGGAAGCAAGAAGAAAAGAAAGCGAAAAAAAACAGAGGGAAATGGAAGCGGAAATTGAAGAGACAGAGACGAACAGAAAGGAAAGCGAAAGAAAAATAAAGGAAATGGAAGCAGAGATTGCAGAGCTGAAGAAAATAGCATCTGAAAAAGGCAGAGCAGAGATGACACCCGAGAGTGAAGAGCTTTCTTCGTCGCTGAGGTTTCAAGGTCTAATGGAGGTTAGCATGAAATCGAATCTGATAAAGAGTTTGAAGAGAACAAACAGTTGCAGGTATAATGACATCAGCTTAAATTTGGAGAATCAGAGAGTTGAGAACTCAGATTTCAGAAGGGAAGAAACGGAGTGTGAAAGACGGAGGCACTCCCAGTGTAACCCTGAGGAACTCACTGAGTCGACTCTGTCTAATCTCAGATCTCGCGCTCCTCGAATTCCAAAACCACCACCGCGACCGTCATCATTAGGGTCGTCAACATCGACATCGTCTAATGCCTCTTGCGATTCCACGGAGAGCAAAGGTTCAACGGAGAGGTCATTTCCTCCTCCTCCTCCTCCTCCTCCGCTGCCGCCACCTTCAGCGAAACTGGGTCCTCCTCCACCACCAGTGAAGGCCGCGCCTCCACCTCCTCCTCTTCCTCCAAAGGGAACAAGAGCGACTGCGGCGAAGGTGAGGAGAGTTCCCGAGGTAGTGGAGTTTTACCACTCGTTAATGCGGAGGGACTCACGGAGAGATTCAGGCGGCAGCAATGTGGCGGAAGTTTTGCCGGTAATCGCCAATCCACGTGACATGATCGGAGAGATTGAGAATCGGTCAGCGCATTTGCTTGCGGTAAGTGGCATTCTCCCATTTTGAACAGTATATTTCCAATACTACCACTGTGACCTTTTTAATTTTGCGTCCGTGACAGGCGACTATTCTCGTCCGTGACTTCATTGCTTTTGTTCTCTTTGTAGATAAGACACTGTTTATATTCGAATTAGGCATTTTGACCTAATTCAAAACAAAAAAAAAATAGTAAAAAAATTTTCTATTTCCTGGTCAACTCGTTGCCATTTTAATTTTGAAGGGTGTGTGATTCGGAATTTCATAGACAGTTATTTTATTTTATTAACCCTGGCATTTAGAAGCTTCGTTCATCCCAATTACTCTGAAGTCAAGCCATATCAAATGTTATGGAAGAAGTTCTCCCAACACTTATTTTTCTATTCACAAAACATTTTTCTATTCACAAGACGTTAGAGATTAGAATTGAACTTCTTACACTCTTGATGGTCATAGATAGTAATTAGTTGTTGGTTTTATTGAATGATATCAATGCGTTTAATTATAAATAACAACAATTATTACCCGTTTGATTTCAACCCTTAGCTACTAGTCATATTTGAACAATTAATTTAAACACCCTTAAAAAAGATGGGGCGGGTCTGACCTGGCTTATGAACCTAGATTAAATCTGAGTTGTTGTAGTGATTAATTATTAATTAATTTAAAACCATTAATTGCTGTTTTGTGATGTTAATCTCGGAACTGGGATTTAATTTGGTGGTGCGGGTGATGATTTTGCAGATAAAGACAGATGTAGAGACACAGGGAGACTTCATAAGGTTTTTGATTAAAGAAGTTGAGAATGCTGCATTTACAGACATTAAGGATGTTGTGCCTTTTGTCAAGTGGCTTGATGATGAGCTCTCATACTTGGTATGTTTTCTTCTCCATGAAAAGGAACTTGTTATTGTTTATTTTCCTGAGAAATCTCATTTTGTTTGTCCATATGTTTGTTTTGATGTTCAGGTGGATGAAAGGGCAGTTCTCAAACACTTTGATTGGCCAGAACAGAAGGCTGATGTATTGAGGGAGGCAGCATTTGGGTATTGTGATCTCAAGAAGCTGGAGACTGAGGCTTCATTATTTCGTGATGATCCTCGGCAGCCTTGTGGTCCTGCTCTCAAGAAGATGCAGTCCCTCCTTGAAAAGTAAATACTCCTCTCATAACTATATATTGCTTCTTCTCTTTGCAGTTTGCATTATTTGTTGATTTTTTGAAATCTGTTTCTGATTATGCTATCTATTTCAATAATGATAGATTGGAGCATGGTGTTTACAATCTTTCTCGAATGAGGGAATCTGCTACCAAGAGATACAAAGAATTCCAAATTCCTATGGATTGGATGCTAGACACTGGAATTGTAAGCCAGGTATATATTTCATTTTATGATAGCATTTCCTAGAAAACTTTGATGCGTGGCCAATTCATATCGATATGGTAAATTTCTTTAGTGTCTGTTGTTAGGATAATAGTTGCATAGTACAGCTATCCCCATAAATGTGGTTTGTCACTGTGGTGATACATTTTAGGAGGTCCTTTTTAATTAATAATGCCTGCAGAGAATGAAGCAGCAAGAGGAATTGTGTTGACAGTCAGACGGTCTATAATTAATATTAATACTATTTGAGTAGGGAAAGTGATTCAGAAACAATCTTTTTTATTACTTTTTTGTACAACTTTAGGTCTCATTTAAATAATTGGTTTTTTTTAATTTATTTGAAACATGTGATATTGAATATATTCACTCATTTAATAACATGTAAAAATTATATAAAAAGATTGTTCATATATCATTTCCCTTTGAACAGGGGTGGAACCAAGATCTGTTATTGGGTAGGACCCAATAAAAGGATTGTGTATTATTTTTATTTTAATAAGTAGGGCCTATAATTACAAGGGCATTGAAATTAGGCAAATATTTTGCAAGAGAGGTAGAGTTTGTCCCTAATCCCTCTTAAGTGTAGGTCTGCCCCTAATTTGAGTACTGATAGCTAAGTGAGAGACCGATTATAATTTTTTTTCTTTGCATTTTCTAGGCACGCGCCTATATTGAGCACATGTGAACTCCCTAGTGCTAGATCCGTATTTGTTTCTGCTTGTTTGCTTCCGTTGATTGAGATTTTCATGAATGAAAAAGCAAATTAGATTCTCCATCTCGACTTGTATTTTCGTATTGTTTAATTTACAATGCTGGGATTTCTACACATTCTTTATTGTGTATAGAAAGACCCGCGAGTTCTAAAGCCTTGATTAATTTTAAAGCAATTGTTAATATAATAATCTGCCTTGTTTGACTGAAGGTTAAATGTCAATTTTGGTCCTTAACTTTAACGTTTTGTATAATTTTAATTTCTTAATTTTTTTGTGTACTTTTTTGGTCTTTCAACTATGAAAAATGCACTTTTTTAGTCTTTTCAACGATTAGTTCATTAAGTTTATCTAAATATGCACATTTTTAGTCTTTTAACTTAAAGTTGAGGGACGAAAAATGTGCATATGTTAGGAGTTGAGAGACTAAAAATGTGCATAGATAAACTTAACGGATTAATTAATGAAAGGACTAAAAGGGTGTAATATTCATAATTAAAGGACCAAAAAAGAGTATAAATTATTGAAAAAGTCAAGAGATGAAAATTGTGTGAAAACTTAAAGTTGAGGGACCAAAGTTGGCATTTAACCTTGACTGAATATGGTACAGCATGCAGGCTTGAATTTCGAAGCAATATGGGTATATTTTATTTTATTTTATTAAAAGAAGTTTGTTTTTTGTTTTTATCACATAAATTGATGTGGAGAAGCAGTGCTGTAACATATTGAAGATCATGTTTATGCTTTCCCAGATTTATAATCTTTATGTTAATTGAGCTCATTAATGTACTGAATATTGCAGATTAAGCTAGCATCTGTAAAATTAGCAATGAAGTACATGAAAAGAGTATCAGCAGAGCTTGAGATTGTGGGTGGTGGCCCTGAAGAAGAGGAGCTGATTGTTCAAGGGGTTCGATTTGCATTTCGTGTACATCAGGTAACTAGACACGCATTAATAACTTATTATGACACTTATATCACAATATCACTGTTCAGTTTCTGAATGAGAAGGTAATATTTGCGTTCTTGTTTCTGCCTGCAGTTTGCAGGAGGTTTTGACGTGGAAACAATGAGGGCGTTCCAGGAGCTGAAAGCCAGATCGTGCCATGTACAATGCCAAACCCAGCAACAACAAAAATTTGTATGCAGGTCTATGCCATGCTAATCTGTAGCAAGCTCAGGTTCAGCATGCCACCAGTTTATTGTTGTAAAGATAGAATATTAATATGTTTGTGAATACAACTGCCACATTGAATTAAATTTTATTCAGATCAACCCATAACTAGTTTCTTGCTTCTGTAGCATAATCTCTCGAAAAAGGGCAATTTCAACCGGAATTTTCACCTATGTTCCTTAGAGCCTGTAGCTTAGCTAACAGTACCGGTGCCATGCTGCCCATGCTAGCGGAAATGTCACGTACTACCATGCCTGTAATTAACTTTCTAGCTGATGTAACAGTTGTGACTTGAAAGTTGAGAATAATGTTTTTATTTCACATGTCACTAGTGTAATTAAGGCTATATATCTGGCATTCCCCTGTTATGGTCCAGCCCAGCAGTGCCACTGCAGCTTAAAAAGGGTTGCTGGTGGAATGCACTCGATCAATGGTCGAACCTTACGAAGAAGTAAACTATTAATTTTTAACTCCTAACTATTGTTCTTGTCAAAAAAAGAAAAAGAAAAAGAAAAAGAAGGCTATATATCTGAATTTAAAGGTAATTATTTGCTTTTCTAAAAAAAATTCAATCACTTTACAATTGATTTTGGCTTTGGCCCATCAGTGTCAATTACCAGAAGCAAATGAGAATTTCTGCCCTGCCATGACAAATGTATAAACAATTGAATATGAGAAGAAATAAATTTCCCGTTGGTTGCTGAAGTTCTTCACATAACTATAGCTGCATATAGGAGTTCGTTCCAGGTATCCGGCAAGCCAGGTAGGCACCAGTGGCTGCAGTCGGCACCGGAATGGTCACCGCTGTAGGTAGAGGGGTGTGCATCTTTCCTCAATTGTGAGAGTGTGCTTATGTCAAGCAAATAGACTGGCTTCTTCATCATCTCCAACACTTTGTTTACAACAGCTGCAGCCGGGGGAGAGCTCGCCGGATATACAGAACCGGACAGCGGCTCTGATTGTCCATGACAGTTATTCTTTGGTTGGTTCCACTCTCTTCCGCTGTTTTGGAACAACCCCAATCAATTTTGTAATTAGAAGACTGTAAAATCGGATATATCTACTACATTACTCAAGAAAATGTTATATATTCATGTCTCCTCATAAGATGTACCATAAACTCCAATCTGATATTAAGGTTTTAAAGTTCATAAGCATCAATTAAGTTAAACTATTTAGTTTGAGTTTAGTACTTACTCGTAATGGGTGGGAGAAATGCCTTGGAAGAAGACCTTAGTCTTGGAAGTGTCTACATTATTGTTCACCCAATTAGCCCATGTTGTGAGCCCTATGCTAAATGCCACCAAACGGTTCATGTCTTTGAGCAATAGTTGCCTATACCGAATGTAATGCCATCTGCATAATTAAGCAGAAGGAACATTAAGAATGAATTCTCCAGGATCATGAGTATACGATATCAGCCCAGGGGATATAGAAAAATGATGAAGAGGGATCATACGGTTGAGAATTTCCAGTGTGGTTCCACCAATGCCAGGAATTGAAAATCAGCACATCCATCCCTTTCCATACATTGCCGGCGCTGATGGAGTCCAGCCTCAACACTGGCACATTGTTTTCTTCAACTATATCTACTAAGTATGGTGTCCGGTACAAATACAGAGTTACTCCATATTCCTGTATAGTATAAAATGGTCAGTGTACCGTCATAAAAATAACAGAAACACTATTTTTTCCTCCGAAACAGTAATCAAATGATAAATTCAATCACTACTGAAACAGTAAAATAGATAAAAATATTGAGGGAAGGCTGCTATAATTCTGCACAAGTTGTCAGACTTTTCATGGCAACTGTTTTTGTTTTTGCCTTCTTTTTTTTTTTGGTTTTTTTTCCCCTCCAAAAAAAAATGGCAATGGTCATGGCAGCTGTTAGTTACTGAGTGGCGCCATGTCTACATGTTTATATACCATGCTATCTGATTATTTTAATTCAGTTAATTTTGATTTCTTAACAATTAAATTTTTTTTCGTTGGATAATGAACTACAATAATCACTCCTTTCTCTCCATCCCATCTTATCAGTTTTGAGGCCTATTTGATACAATAATTAAAATTTAATTAAAAATAAATAGTAGGTAATAGATAATAAATAGTATATAATAATAATATATAATATATAGTGGTAATGAATAGTGGATAACAAATGATAGATGATGATTAATAAATAATAGATAATAGATAATAAATAGTGAATAGTTATCAACGAGGGGTTGGATCAAGTGGTAAGCTGCTTGTTCCAACTTAAGTAAGATCTCGAGTTCGAGACTTTGTGTACGCAGCAGCCCTCGCTGGGAAACTTACCCATCATTTCCAGGTGCGCAATGCGGGTCGGATCCGAATTAGTCGGGGCGAAACCCCGAATACCGAGCGAGAAACCAAATAAAAGAAAAAATAGTGAATAGTTTAGTAGATAATAAATAATAAATTATATTAATATAATTGTTGAATTATATAATAATTTACTATTATTATTTAAAATTAAATGATTGATAAAAAAAATACTTAAAAATAATTAAATGTATTTTTTATATTTTTTATTATTAAAATTATTAATTTGATAAAATAATAAAAA